CACCCATCCATCCACCCACCTATCCATCCATCCATCCATCCCACCTACTCTCCTACCCATCCATTCATCCATCCATTGATTCTTCCTTCCATCCTTTCATCTACCCATCCCTCTCTCCATTTCATCAATCAATCCATTTCTTTCTTCCTTCCATCCATCCATCTACACAGCCACCTGTCCATCCATCCATCCATTCATCCATCAATCCATTCATTGATCCTTCCTTTCTTCCATCCATTCATCTGTCATCCATCCATGCATCCATCATCCACTGACCCTTCCTTCCTTCCATTTATCCATGTATCCATCCATTCATCGATCTTCCTTCTACCCACCCATCTACTCATCTATAGATCCTTTCTCCCTGTCTTCCTTCCATCTTTCCATCTGTCTATTCATCCATCCATCCATATCCATCCTTCTGTCTACTCACCTACCTATCTTCCATTCATTTAATCTACCTATCCATTCACGAATTCTAATCACTCACCCTATCCACCCTGCCATCCACATGCCCACCCATTCATTCACTCCATACTATTCTTTTGTCTATCAGCCATTCTTTTATCTATTTTTCCACTCACCTACCCATCCATTGATTCAAGTTTCCCTGAGCTCCTCTTCTGTGTGTGGAGCTATGCTGGGTACTGGATAAACAGATATGAATCAGATGCAGGCTGTGCCCCGTGGGTTACCTACCCTCCTGAGGGAGGAGACTCTAATGGACCATCACATGCAGCGAGACCCACTCTAGGCCAGACAGTTGTACAGGGCAGAAAGGAGTGCATGGTCAGCCAGGTCTATCTGTGGGTGGGATGTAGTCAGTCAAGGAAGGCTCCCCAGAGGAGGCGGTAATTGAGCAGAGTCTTGGAAGGGGAGAAATTTCCCTGTTAGGATGAGAGTGACCAGTGTGTGCAGAGATGCACAAAACTCTAAGGTGCATTTGGGGAGCTACAGAGCCCCTGCTGGCTGCCTCGGGCATAGGGGTGATGGGAGGTGGTCAGGCAGGGCTGGAGTGGAGAGGGCCTTGAACACCATGACAAGGCATTCCACCTCAGCCATCTACCTTCCTCCTCTGTCCCTACTCCTCACCCCAACCCTACTCACCCCCAAGATTGGGGGAAGACAAGAATGGTGAGTGTACCAGGAGGGAGTGGGGGAGGCCCCACCCCCACACCCAGCAGCTAACATCTGTGCAGCATTCTAGCGGTGACGGAGGCAGCCCCAGGGTAGAGGCTGCTGGCACCCCTCTCCCTGGATGAGGAGCAAGGAGCCCAGCCGGCAGAGTGACTGGGGTGGTGCTGGGTGGTAACTGAGAGCTGGCAGTTACCGCCAGCTCACCTCCCAGCTCCTTAGGCAAGTAACTCAGCTCCTAAGAACCTCAGTCTCTTCATCTGTAAACGGGACATCATAGCAAAACCTGCCTTGTGTGTTCTGTGAGGCAGCTGGGAAAATAGCCTGAGATCCCGCACGTGTGGGCCTAGCACAGGCCTGGCACGGTGGGCTCCAGAGACAGCGTGTGCTGCCTTCACTTTGGCCGCAGCTTGAGACCAGGCGTGCCTGACCCAAAGCTCCCTATGTTTGTCCCGCCCAGGACTCACTGTTAGACATTCCCCGCTTCGCCCTGCTCCTCCCTCTGGCATATCCCTCTTTCCCTTTCAACAAAACTTGAAACATCTGTCTACTTTTACGGGTCCCAGTTTCTCCCCTTCTGCTCTCTCTTGCCCCTACCCAGGCAGGCCCTGTCCCGGTTCACTGAAGCTATCCTTGTCACCAATGGTGTCCTGTTGTGGAGCCCAGTGACTGTCCTGGGGCAGGCCTTACCTTGCCGTCTCAGCACTAATTGGCTCAGCAGACCAGACCCCCTCCCTTCATGAGACCCTTACTTCCTAGAGGCACTCCGCCCTGGCTCCCCAGATGCCCTCCGCCCTGGCTCCCCTCCTGCCTCCCCAGCCGCCTCTCCTCAGCTCCCAGGGGTGAGTTCTCCCTGCTCCCCAGCCTCCTAACTCTGGGCTGTCCCCAGGCTGGTCTTCTGCTGTCCTTTCTCTGCACTCGCTGCTAAGGTGGCTTCACCTGGGTCCCTGGTGTTACCACCACCTCTGCATTCCTGACATGTGTGCCCCACAGCTTGGCCGTGCAATTTATGTTTGTGTACTAATTTATAAAGGTGACTGAGTGACAGCACAGAGAGGTCAGAGCTACTGAAAGGAAAGTTCACCCTGACTCACAGTGCTCCTGGACACCCAAGGGCGGGCATGCCCCACAGGGCCCTGGGGAAGCACCAGTGTCGGTCTGGAGGAGAACAGCAGGGGCCCAGGGCACAGCCTTTATTGGAGTTCCTGTGGGAAAGGCATGGCAGGGCCCGGGAGGCGGGCTGGGACCAGCTGGTTGGAATAATTCTGGTGGGCTTTGGGGCCAAGGGCCCAAGCCTGGTTGTCTGGTGCCTGGCCCTGGCTCTGTTCCGGGCAAGGGGAATCTTGGCTTGGTGTGAGAGTTACATACAGCAGGTGGCTTGGGGGGTGGACTTGGGCTTCGTTGGTTTGTGTATCAAAGATGGACTCACTGACTGTGGTTTCCGGCCTCTAGGAATTAGCTCTGAAGTGCAGTCCAATGCCCAGCAAGTCCCTCAAGATAATAAAACTTCATGCAGTATAGAAAAGAATTCAGACATACTATACCATGTCCTCTGAATTCCAGACTTAAATATGCAGCCGGGTAATGAGCATTTCAAACCCAACATGCCCCACTCTCAACTCGATGGGCCCCAGATCTGCTAGGTGTGCAGCCTCCCGCTCCAGCTGACCACAGGTGTTCAGACCAGGCACCTTGGGGTCACCCCTGGCTTCTCACTTTCTCTCAAATCCACGTCCAGTCGGTCAGCAGATCCTGCTGTCTCCACCTTCAAAACTGACTACAGCCTGGCCAGGCGTGGTGGCTCATGCCTGTAATCCCAGCACTTTGGGAGGCTGAGGCGGGCAGATCACTTGAGGTCTGGAGTTCGAGACCAGCCTGGCTAACATTGCGAAACCCCGTCTCTACTAAAATAGAAAAAAATAGCCAGACGTGGTGGTACACTCCTGTAATCCCAGCTACTCAGGAGGCTGAGGCAGGAGAATCACTTTAACTCAGGAGAGGGAAGTTGTGGTGATCCGAAATCGTGCCACTGTACTCCAGCCTGGGCAACAAGAGCGAAACTCCATCTCAAAAAGCCCCAAAAAACAAAAAACTGGGTATAGCCTGTTCACTGCTGCCCTCCAGCCCGAGTTTCTGCACCCCCGCACCCTCCCCCCCACCGACAGGTCTCCAGCGCCTGCCCTGGTTCCCGTCTGTCCTCTCCACATGGCAGCCAGGGAGAGCCTGTTCAGATGCCAGGCTGTGACTGCCCTGCACACACCTGCCCTGTTCAACCTGGAGTCACAGCCAAAGCCCTCGCCTGGCCTCCACTGCCCTCATGATCTGGCATCACCCCTCGCGGACCTCTTCGTCTGTCCTGCCCATCACTCCCTCCCCTCCAGCCACACTGGCCTCCTGGCTGGGCCAGAACAGCGCAGGCCCACGACCGCTTCGGGCCTTCACACTCACCACGGCCCTGTCCAGCAAACCCCTCCTGTGCCCGGCCTCTCCTCACTGCTTCCTTCATGCCTTGACTGAAAGGTCTTCAATAAATAAGCTATTGGTTTATTTATTTTTGAGATAGAGTCTCGCTCTCTAGCCCAGGCTGGAGTGCAGTGGCACGATCTCGGCTCACTGCAACCTCCGCCTATCCAGTTCAAGCGATTCTCCTGCCTCAGCCTCCCTAATAGCTGGGATTACAGGCTCCTGCCACCAAGGCTGGCTAATTTTTGTATTTTTTGGTAGAGACGGGGTTTCGCTATGTTGGCCGGGCTGGTCTTGAGCTCCTGACCTCAAGTGATGCCTGCCTCGGCCTCCCAAAGTGCTGGGATTACAGACATGAGACACTGCACCCAGCCTAACACACTGTTTAAGTGGCAACTTGGGCCGGGCAAGGTAGCTCACACCTGTAATTTCAGCACTTTGGGAGGCTGAGGCGAGAGGATGGCTTGAGCCCAGGGGTTTGAGACCCGCCTGGACAACATGGTGAGACCCCATCTCTAGAAAAAAAGAAAATAAGATTAGCCGGGCATGGCGGTGTGTGCCTGTAGCCCCAGCTACTCAGGAGGCTCAGGTGGAAGGATCATTTGAGCCCAGGAGTTCGAGGCTTCAGTGAGTTATAATCCTACTGCCCTCCAGCTTGGGTGGCAAAGCAAGACCTGGTCTCGATAAATAAATAATTCTCTGCTTCCGACTCCCAGGCACCCTCCCTGCTTGCCTTTTCTTCTCAGCACACGTTCTTATAACGTGTTACCCATTTTGCTTACTTATCTTGAGGGAAGGTGGTCAGGCAGGGCCAGAGTGGAGAGGGCCTTGAACTTCACGACGAGGCATTTCACCTTGGACGTCTGCCTTCCTCCTCTTCCTCCCAGTGGAAAACTGAGCGTGGGTGTGGAGTTTTGTCTGTTCAGTGCTGCATTCTCAGCCTGTAGAACATCAAGGCACTCCACAAATATTTGTCAGATGACTAACTTAGCCTTTTACATGGAAATGTGTTTGAAATAAGCTCAATACTTTAAAGTCTTTTTGAATGACCATGGGGTTGTTTTTTTTTTTTTTTTTTTTTTAGACAGAATCTTGCTCCGTTGCCAGGCTAGAACGCAGTGGTGTGATCTCAGCTCACTGCAATCTCTGCCTCCCGGGTTCAAGTGATTTCCCTGCCTCAGCCTCCTGAGTAGCCGGGACTACAGGTGTGGGCCACCACGCCTGGCTAATTTCTTTTCTTTTTTCTTTTTTTTTTTTTTTTTGTATTTTAGTAGTTACACAGTTTCACCATGTTGGCCAGGATGGTCTCGATCTCCTGACCTTGTGATCTGCCTGCCTTGGCCTCCCAAAGTGCGGGGATTACAGGCATGAGCCACCATGCCTGGCCTACCATGAGGTCATCTTTTTACAGATTACTGCTTATTTCCTGCATATCATGTGCTAATTCCTCGTTCTGGCTGCTAATTTCTGTGTCTCCCCCAGCCCTGCTGTCCAGTCAGGCGCCCCCAGACTCTGTGCAGGTGGCGGAGAAGCTGTTGGCTCCGCCTGTGATCCAGTATGACATGGAAGCCGAGAAGCAGCTGATCCGGGAGGTGAGACCCACGTGGGTGGGAACAAGGAGAAGGGGCGGGCAGGTGGGGCCCAGCAGGAGGGGCAGGGCTGCTCTTGGGGTCCAAGGAGGGCACAGCTCCAGTGTGATATCACCACACCTTCACCCTGGGGTTGATCCTAAGAAAGCTGAGGCTCAAGGAGATGCCAGGACTTGCCCAAGGTCACACGGCAAAGAGTCTGAGGCAGGATTTGAACTTGGGTTCCTGACTCCAGACTGCAGTCAGTGCCGCCTCAGGGCCTGCGTGGTGATAATAGAAGGGTCCAGGGGCATCTCCGGGGTGTGGTCTCCCCTTTTGAAGGAGGGGTGGCTGTGGATGGCTGCTGCAGAGGTGAGGCAGTCGGGTGGGAGGATTCTGTCCCCCAGCAGCCGCCAACAAACGGGGGTCTGAGCCAGGCAGCCTGTTTGACCAGCGGGTGTGTGGTGTTGGCCTGCTGGAAAAAGCTGCCACCTGGGGCACCTGGCTTCTCTCATGTGGGTGCCTCCCAACATTCCTCGGAAGCAGCGGGTCAGGTGATGCCCCTGATTTCCAGAGGCAGAGTGGATCCCCAGAGCTGAATTTCCATTGCCAGGCGTGGGGGAGGGCTCCCAACTCCTGCCTTTGGCTCCATCCCTGACTCCCTGCTCTGTTGGTTTCCAGAGATTCCCGCCTAAAGGCTGCATCCTGAGACCTGAGCATGCGGTGCAGTTTGACATGTGGCAGTCCCTTTTTTTGTTCATTTATTTATTTATGAGACGGAATCTTGCTCTGCCGCCCAGGCTGGAGTGCAGTGGCACCATCTCGGCTCACTGCAACCTCTGCCTTCTTGGGTTCAAGTGATTCTGGCCTCAGCACCCCGAGTAGCTGGGACTACAGGCGTGTGCCACCACTCCCAGCTAATTTTTGTTATTTTAGTAGAGACGGAGTTTCACCATGTTGGCCAGAATCGTCTTGATCTCAACGTCGTGATCCACCTGCCTCAACCTCCCAAAGTGCTGGGCTACCGGCATGAGCCACCGCGCCCAGCCCTATTTATTTGAGACAGCATCTTGTCGCCCAGGCTGGAGTGCAATGGTGCAATCTCAACTCACTGCAGCCTCAAACTCTCTGGCTCAGGTGCTCCTCCCACCTCAGCTTCCTAAGTAGCTGAGACCACAGGTGCATGTCATTAGGCTTGGCTAATTTTAAAAATTTTTTGTAGTGATGGGGTCTGTCTATGTTGCCCAGGCTGGTCTTGAACTCCTGGGCTCAAGCAATCCTCCCACCTCGGCTTCCCAAAGTGTTGGAATTACAGGTGTGAACCGTCATCGCGCAGGGCCTGACAGTCCCTTTAGAAAGGCCAGGGCTTTTCCTGATGTGCAACCTAATGCCAGGCAGAGCGAGCTCTCCAGGGACTGGGCCCTGGATGTGTCTGCAGCTGGACCCCGGCCACTCAACTACAGCCACCCATTGGGGTGCACCCTTAGGCCCCGGAAGCCCCTGTTGGGGACCCTTTGGGGACCTGGGGCCCAGCCTTTGGGGCAAACGGGAGGAACTGGGGGGACTCAGTTCTGCGGGCTAGAGGCCTGGGAGAAATTCACCCTAGAGCCTCGGGGGCTGCACGTGGTGGGTGGGACCTGTGCTGTTTGGGGAGAGGCTCGTTGGTGCCCCCAGTGGATGCCGCCCGCCCCTGCAGGCTTTGGGAGCTCCGCAGCGGGCACTGCCTACCCTGGCTGAACGCAGGCAAGCCCACAGAAACCAGAGAAGTGACCCTGCCGGAGTTCGGAGTGGGCATGGAGTCACACAGCAGCCCGGGGGCCTTTGGTCACAGATGCAGGGGTGGGGCGGGCTGCGCAGGACGGAGGCTTCCTTCCCCAGAACCTGGTGTGTCCAGCGGTCCCCACTGTCCAGTAAGTAGGGCACTGCCGCGCCCTGGTGGTCACCAGGGAGAAGCGACACTATTCTTGGCAGGCCCCTAGAGGTGCCACTGACGGGAGTGCTTTCTGCCCTGGGGAAGGGGTCGCCTGCCTCCTCCTCCTCATGGGGTTGCCCAGTGGCCACTGCGTCAGAGTGCTACTGCCTGATGCCACTGCCACCAGGATTCCAAGAAACCCTGAGGTGTCTTCTGTGAGCCATGCTTGGAGGAAGGGTTGAAGATGTCTGTGCCCCCCACCCCTCTGCTGTCCCTGCTTCCCTCCTCCCTTCCATGTGCTCTTTTTCACAACTCTCATATTTGTTGAGCACCTACTATGCGCCTGGAACCATGTTTCCCTTTCATTCAGGAAAAGGGAGGAGGCCCGTCTTTGTAGGAGAGAAGGCATGGGCTTGGGTCCCCAGTCTGAGCCAGAGTTTTGGACTAGCAGATTCCTAGGGTCCGCCCAGCTTTCACTTTCTGTGAGTCCATCCTTATGGGCTCTGTGGCCTTGGGCAGGTTGGTTGAGCTCTCTGAGCCTCTGTCTCATCGCTAGCGGCTTTCCTGCTGCTTTCTGAGGATGTAAGAGGATGAAACAAAGGGGCATCTTCTCCTTGGTGGGCTGTGTGTCATGTACCAAGTAGGAGCCGGGGGTCAGCTCCGCCGTTCAGTCCTTAACAGGCATATTGTGCGTGTGTGCTGGGTGCTGGATACGCTAGCTGGAGCGGGTGTGGGGCCAAGAAAGGGTTTTTCATGCTTTAAATGTTGGAAGCAAGAGGGCATGTCTCGTAGACTGTCAGGAGTGATCCAGCACAGAGGGAGAAGTCGAGGTCTAGGAAGGAGGGGCAGACTGCAAGCACAAGGTCCTGGAGCTGGGTGCTCGGATTCCAAGGAGGTGGAGCTTCCAGGTAGACCCGCAGGTGGACGGGAAGGTGAGGGAGTCCTGTGCCTCCCTGTCTCTGATTTACAGGCAGGGAATGTGGGGGGAGTGGAGGGTTGGGAAGACGGAGCTAACAGGTAGGACTGGGGCTGTGGGCTCAGCCATGTAGAAGCCTGCCTGCCTGAGATCCAGGGCCCATGTTTAAAAGTGAGAATGGGGCCGGGCGCGGTGGCTCAGGCCTGTAATCCCAGCACTTTGGGAGGCCGAGGCGGGCGGATCACTTGAGGTCAGGAGTTCAAGACCAGCCTCACATGAGAGGACCAACCTGGCCAACATGGTGAAACCCCGTCTCTACTAAAAATACAAAAAATAGCTGGGTGTGGTGTCACGTGCCTGTGATCAGCTACTTGGGTGGCTGAGGCAGGGGAATCACTTGAACCCAAGAGGCAGAGGTTACAGCGAACTGAGGCCATGCCACTGCACTCCAACCTGGTTGACAGAGCGAAACTCTGACTCAAATAAATAAATTAATTAATTAATTTGTGCATGTGCGCACGTGCATGCATGTGCACTGTGTACGTGTGTACACACGTGCATGTGTGTGTGCATGCCTATGTGTGTGTGTGCTTGCGTGTATGTGTACATAAGTGTGCATGTGTGCAGGTGTGTACATACGTATGCGCGTGTGCACGTGTACATGTGTGCATGCATGTGTGCTTGTATCTGTACATAAGTGTGTGTGCATATGTGTGCATGTGCACATGCATATGTGTGTGTTTCCATCCATGTATTGTAGGGTGAGGCCTGGGTTTAACCAGGGTCAGGGCTGGGCTGGGAGAAAGCAACACAGGGGCTGGGTGAGGAAGTCAGGGATGCTTGCTGACTGGAGTCACAGGCCCTGATGCCTGCTGGGTGAGGAGGGCGGCGAGAGCAGGGGCAGGGGAGGAGAGGGCTGCAGGGTCTGAGGAGTTGCCTGGTCATGGAGCGTCCTTGGGCCTCCGTAACACTGCAGGCATTGTTTTGAGGTTCAGGTGTATCTGAACATGTATGGAAGAATGCATGGTTACAGCTGAATTACTCTCCATCTCCTTGTCTCCCTCCCTGGGAGCCTAAATCAGTGCTGTCTATGCCACTTTGTATTTGCCAAAGGGATCTGGAGGGGTGCGAGTGTGCCGTGGTGCTCGCCCACCCCATCCCTGTCCTTGTCCCGCCTCCCTGGCTTACTGCAGCAGCAGGCACCTCTACCAGCAGTGACTCCAGAAGACAGAGGGTCCCAGACTACCTTTAATTCATAGTGCCCTGCCTGCCCGTCTCTCGGGCTGTGTGTGACAGATGCCCGTGAACCTGCGGCTCTGCTCTTGCATTTACTGGTTCCGCAGGTGTTCATCGAATCCCTCCTCTGGTAGGGTCTGAGGCTACAAGACAGGATGGTCCTTTCAGCCTGGCCAAGATGGTGAAACCCCGTCTCTACCAAAAACATAAAAAATTAGCTAGGTGTGGTGGTGCACACCTGTAGTCCCAGCTACTCAGGAGGCTGAGGCAGGAGAATCGCTCGAACCAGGGAGGCAGAGGTTGCAGTGAGCTGAGATCGTGCCACTGCACTCCAGCCTGAGTGACAGAGCGAGACTCCATCTAAAAAAAAAAAAAAGACAAGCTGTGGTTCTTGCTCTCTGGAGGGTGCCTTCTGCTAGGGGAGGGAGGTCAACAATAAACTATAATCAAATAAATAGAGACTATCATGAAGGAAGCAATGGTTCAGGCAGAAGAAGCAGCTCCTGAGATTACTAGGAAGCTGGAGAGACAGACAGAGCTAAAGAAGGAAAAGAAGCTACTGGTGGCCCTTGCCCTGGTGTCAGAAGACAGCAGCTGTGGAGGGCTGTGAGGAAAGAGGGTGCTGCTGAGAGCTCACACTCCCATTCACACACCATTCACACACCATTCACACCTGTTCATACCATTCACACATTATTCACACCTATTCACACCCACTTGCACCTGTTCACACCCCTTCCCTAGGCAAGCGTGTCCTGCCCTTGACTGTATCCCAGGATTCCTCATCCTGGGGTAGTGAAATGCTGAAAACTCCCAAAAGAAGCAAAGGCCAAAGCCCCAGGAGGCGCCTCAGGAGAATGGAATGGGAGACCCATCTCTCCAAACCCAAAAAGCAGAAACCTTCCCCAAGGAGGAGCAGGCTAGTGCCGATCCTGGGCAGGCAGGTGGCAGCATGTTTTCCCAAGATGGAGGCTGGGTGCCGTGGCTCATGCCCATAATCCCAGAACTTTGGGAGGCCGAGGTGGGCAGATTGCTTGAGGTCAGGAGTTACAGACCAGCCTGGGCAACATGGCAAGACCCCCATCTTTACCAAAAATACAAAAAAATTAGCCGACTGTGGTGGTGGGTGCCTGTGGTCCCAGCTACTCGGG